CCCTAGCAGTTGCTGTTTTCTCTCTGTGTGGATTTCATTGGAGGCTGCACAATTGGACAGCTGTGGGAGGCAGATTCGAGCTGCTGGAAAGGAATGACGCGAAAGAGTTTGCAAATCACACAAAAAGTATATTTCTCATCATAGTTTTTATCTAAATACAAAGCTGAATCCTGAATGGGAATTAAAATTTGTTAAATTCCGCTGTGCATGTTTAAATCAATTCCCAACACTCATGACCTAGTTTTCACTCATTAATGGCGTGCAAAGTGGTCAACTATAACAAAAGTTACGACAAATCAAAGTAGGCCGTTTGAAACTAGTATTTTTGAGAATTTCGATAATATCCTAACATTAAAAATTTGTCTGTGATCATGTACTATCCGAATCCACAAATCATTTATGTCGGGTAGAAGCTCATCTTGAAAATTACATCGTTGTCATATCAAATGGTTCAAACGGATATCAAAAATAATTAAATATACATCAAACATAGACGACTAACTCGTCTTTTCTTTTAAAAAATTCAATTATTTCATTAGCATTTATTATTTTGCATGATAAATTTTTCAGTATAATTTATATTGTTTCATTCGGAAATCTTACATAAAATATGACGTAAAATTTTTTAGGATCTTTATGGATTAAATGTAATTTGAAAGTAACATTTGCTAAATTTGAGTTTCATTTACTTCTTATATTAAACTTGAATTTTATTTCAATTCATTTACTTTTTATATTCAATTTAATTTACTCACCGTTAGCTCAACATTTGTCAACGAAATGACAAACAAAACTATACAAGTAGTAAAATTTATTTAATAATATTAATAATGATGTAATTATGGACATTTTCAAAGTATCAAAATACGTATTATTTTGTTTTCATTAATATTATGTTTTTTTAAAAATTATTTTTAAAATTCTGACCCCACAGCACGAAAAATCTGGGTCCGCCCCTGATCACATCATAGAGTCATGCATTTTCCATGTAATTGGCCAAACTCACTCACTGTTTTACTTTACTTTTTGTTTAATCATACACGTGGCTGCCAACCATTTGGAAATCAAATAGATAACTTCATTAATTTCGATTAACTTCTTTGAATTTTAATATCTTGGACCTAACTTGTTCGAATTAACATATATGGAAATTACAGTCACTAAGGCATTTTGAGTTCAAATTTCATTATTAAGTAATTAGGTTCTTTAATTCAGAAATCAGATCATAATTAATTATTTATCAACATTTTAATATATTTATAATCTCTAACCGTTCCCACTTTGTACGTTAATGGTAGAGAGAGAAAAAATTTAATAAGGGAAAGAAATCTTTCTAAACCATTCAACCGCACTCCACATTCCTCCACAATCAACCGTAATATAAGATACTTACCCTAAATTTGAAACCGGTCTTCATTTACCCTAAATCTGAAACCGTTCAATCGCACTCCACATTCCTCCACGATCAACTGTGATATAAGAGAAGAAGGTACGTTAAGAGAGAAGTCTATAATAGGGCTATCAACGTATTTGTGACCCAAAGTCGAACAAAGTACTGCAAGGGTTTGGTAATGACGAAAACCTGAAGTTGTGATCAGAAATCACTACAGAAAATAGACGGTCCCTCTGGAAGCCATCAACGAAATGCCAGAAGTTCACAAGTCGATAAACGTGACCACGATGGAACCCTGAAAACCTCGACTGAATCTCAAAGATGAAAATCGAACAATGTAAGTATTCTCTGTAGTCTATTGAGTTAAATGAGCATATGGGCAATTTATTTTTGAACTCGCTAAGTGAGTATGAACGGAGTAGTGCTTTATTGGTGGGGGAATTTTCAAATTTTGACGTGGTTTATTGGTAATCCTTGTGTGACCATTTTTTGATTACATTTGTGACTCAACGGTGTAAAGTGCTAAATGATTGTGACCTATGGGATTGTAACCAATTTTTGTGACATGCAGATTTGTGACTATGGAAATTGGCCCATGTTATTGGAAATGATTGTTGTACATGTTTTGAGTGATTTTTGAAATCATACTGGTAACACGTGTGTTACAATTTTTCGAATACACTTGGGACTCAATCAGTGTGTTGTGCGAAATGGTTGTGACCTGTGTGATTATATGTTTTATGTTTCGATTTGCATGTGTGCATGATAAAGATTTTTTACTTCTATTTCCAATTTTCATAATGTCTTGCAGGAATGGAAATACATAATCCCCCACCTATGGTTTCATGGTAAAATTTCAACTAATGTGACCAAGAATGTGTTGACCAACTTTAAATCAAAGTTCACAGATGAACAAAAGGTTATTCTGGCAGACACTTATTTTTTCTTTTACATGGATTGCCAGAAAATTGTGGTGCAGCCTCAACTGATGCACTACTTTTTGTTGAGAGAGGTGAAACAACCGAATCCCAATGAGATGTAGTTCAAGGTTGCAAACAAGTATGTTCGATTTTCATTGTCTGAGATCTGTGTAGTCACGGGTCTGAGATGTAATGGTAAGGATGTCAGGAAAAAAATTCTCGAGCATATTCCTTCCAAGATTAAGGGAACGTACTTCGGGAATTTGAAACTAGTCACAAATGAAGATGTACGTGATGTATTCTTAAACTTGTTAGATGCAGACGATCATGATATTGTAAGTATCAAGATTTCATACTTGATAACGTCTTTCTTATTCTCCACGTCGTATAAGAAGGTGGTTGAAAACTACTTGTTTGCCTTAGTAGAAGACTTTGCTGCGATGGAACGATTTCCCTGGGATAAAGAGTTGTTTGAGATGTCTATAAAATCTCTAAAAGAGGGTTTGGGTCATAGGAATCCCCACTACAAGCTAAAAGGATTTTTTATTACATTTCAAGTCTGGATTTACGAATCAATTCCAAGTCTTACTGGACCTGTGACCAAAAGGGTGGGGAATAGGCACCCCGCATTGTGAATTGGGTGTTGAACAAACAACCATCTGCAGTTAAATTGAATGAAGAGGTCTTCTCCAAGCGAGTATTATGAGTAGAGGTCACACATCACAGTATTATGTGCAGAGGTCACACGTCACATGCTAAGTGACTATGTACACATGTATCAGAATCACATCACTATATGCACATGTGGATAGGTAATTAGGTTGCAGTCACATTCTTTGACATGTATTCCCTAGTCACAGGTTGGGTCACATGACTATGCACATGTCACGGGTCACAGAATTTAATATACGTTAGATTGTGTGTCTCAGGTCACAAGTCACATGTCTACATAACTTATGTCACAAGTGACAGATACACACATCTCGTGGAGAGAAGAAAAAATGTACAAATGTTAATGTGAGAAGTTCATCTGCATATTTTGTTTGTCACGAATCAATTATAAACTATCACAATGTTCTTATCAAATTTCAAAGCAAGCCTAAATTGTGTACATGTAACGGCTTAACGAACCAAAGTAATGAATGCTAAAATGTCGATCCGTTAATATTTCACATAATTTTGGATTAGTTTTTCTTTAATGGAAGCAGGTTGTTGCATGTCCTACAATTGTGACCACTTCCTTCACAAGGTCCACATTTCACCGTTTGTTTTCCCTCAATGCACGATCTTCTCCTCTTTTCAGCAGGTCTGCCAGAGCTTCTTTTCTGATTAGGTGCCAGGACAATTATGTCTTCAACTTTCGGGGGCACAATCCACTCATTTGGATTCCCCACTAGGTAGAATGTGTATTGGTATGCATTCATGTATGCTTCGCTGGTGTAGAAGTACGAACAATAATCATACAGATCCCGTTTAGTTGTTGCTATTACAGCCAATGCATATGGACATGACATCTGATCAACTTGAATCATCAGACATGTGCAAGTTCGTTTCTCTATATCAACGCCAAATGATTATCTCTTATCAGCAATCGAAAATATTGTCTGGTTCGCTGGAGAAATCTGCGAACAAAAGAAGGGATAATGTCAGGTCACATATCTTACATAATGGATATTCCACCAAGTCACATATACACGTATATGATGTAATGTAACAAATATGATCGTCACCCTCATGTTCCTCAAAGCTGTGCTCATTTCTCTCATCATTTTCTTATACTTGGTGGACAACTTTGTGAATGTGTCATTTGCTGTGTCTCTATTCTAACAAAACCAAGATTGTATTGTTTGTTGCAGTGCTATAATAGGATAGCTCTTCGCTACTTTTGTGACTGCATTGACGGATTTCACTATATTAGAGGTCATCGTGGAGTACCTATTTGTAGGCATGTGGAGCCGTGACCACCTTTCTGGTCCAATTTCATCCTACGAAGCCAAAACATTATTAGGTTGGAAGGCGTACACTTTTCACGGACAGTATGTACATGTTCGAAAGTAAAACCTTACCAGGTAACCTCTAATCTTCTTGTTGATTGTGTCCAACTATTCATATTGTACTCGAAATCTGACAAAGTGTATGCAGACAGTATGTACATGTTCGAAAGTAAAACCTTACCAGGTAACCTCTAATCTTCTTGTTGATTGTGTCCAACTATTCATATTGTACTCGAAATCTGACAAAGTGTATGCAGACAGTATGTACATGTTCGAAAGTAAAACCTTACCAGGTAACCTCTAATCTTCTTGTTGATTGTGTCCAACTATTCATATTGTACTCGAAATCTGACAAAGTGTATGCACGAACAACCAAATTGAACGGTTGCGTTATGTTGTAACCTGATTTACAAAAATGTTATTTCAAGTTCAGTAATAGATGGTACGCACAAATTCCATGGCTTATACCCGGATACACCCATTCGATTGCAGTCTTTATACTGTTATGCCTATCTAATACAAAACAAAGTCCTTCCCTATTACCATAAGCACTCCTCAAGTTTTCTAAAAACCATGTCCAAGATGCATCATTTTCGTTATCCCCAACACCGAATGCAAGCACAAAGATAATGTTATTAGTATCATGTATACAAGCTGTAAATAGAATGTCTTCCTAGTGCCCACACAAGTACGTGCCGTCCACAACAATTACAGGCCTACAGTGGACCCATCTTTCAATCGATGCACCAAGTGCCATGAAATAGTACTTGAATCTGTTGTGACCATCAAGCTTCAACTTTATGACCGTTTCAGTATTTGTCTATCTAAGTATATAAAAGTAGCTTGGTAACTGCCGAAATGACTCTGTTGGATCCCCCCGATTAGTTTCAAAGTTCTTTCCCGAGACCTCCAAGCTTTAACATAATTCACTGTGACCCCATATGTATGCAACATGTCGTTACATATATCATTCGGAGTGTATACAGTACACGATGATGTATACTTATACTTGATGCATGAGGACACCACAAACGTTGAGACTTGCCTGTGAGCTCCTCAAACTATGTTTGAAGCACATGTGTGACCATCGGTTAGCTTTTGAATCTTGAAAATCTCAATTTTTCCCAACCTTGAAGACCTACATATCCAGTTGCAATCATCAAGTGAACACTTGAGTAGATACTCCTTCTTATCTAATCGAATTACCACGTATTCAAACATATTTTGTATTGGGTAGAAAAGACATGCTCAATTTCAAAACATCCTTATTGCGAAACACTCTGCCTTCTTCAATACTCATAGCATCAGGAATGGAAACAATTGTGACCAAATTTTCATCCATGCGATGGGATGTTTCTACAACTGCATCACATATGTTAGTTGTTATATTCTGCAACGGATATACCCTTGTACTATATTGCACGTTAAGTGCATTCGGATTGGCCAACATAGAACTGAGGATTCATGTCCTATTTCTGTAGATGTCACCTCAATGTTTATGGGGTACTTTGACAGGTCCCGCTCTACAGTCTTTAGAGTCACATATGTCCGAACATTACTGTCACTACATATTCTTACTGGAGGCAGATCAATATTCAGTGAGTAAATCATTGTGACAGTTACCTTAGTAGGATCTAGACTGAACTCTGTCACTACTATTTCCTCAAACTTTATATAACAACAATTATGATTAACCATCACCAATGCAAACTGTGACCCGTATAACAAGCAAACATGCACATATCTCATTT